GCTCTTCAGAGGCGACCCGAGGCGGCGGTCGGCGGCAGAAGTTAGCTGCCGGAGGCCCGCGTGTGCGGAGCTGCAGCCACCTCCTGCACGGTCGCCCCGGGGTCCCCTCGCTGGCCGCGCCGCCTGCAGGCCTCGGTCGTCCCCGGAGCAACACCACTTACCCAGCTCCCGCTCGGCCTCCGGCCCCAGCAGTCTCCCTTCCTTCCGCCGCCGACCGCCGCCTCGGGTCGCCTCTGAAGAGCCCAGCCGCCTGCACGCACTCCCGGATTTTTAAAAACAAACAGGCGCCGTCGCCTTCCCGCGGCGTTCGCAGGGTTTTCGCCAAGCCCGCGCCTCCCGAAGCTGGGAAGTTTGCTGGCAGGGCCCGGGCGGGACGTGCGTGCTGTCACCCGCTGCTCGCGACACGGCAGCCTCGGCGCGCCCCGCGCCCTTACAGTCCGCCTCGAGAGCGCTCTCCCTCCCTGCGTGTCACCCCCAGTCCTGCGATGCAGTGTCAGGATTGCACGACTCTGACTCATCGGTTGAGCTCACAGCTTGAAAAAAAAAAAAAAAGAGGGGAGAGAGAGAGAGGGCGAGAGGCAACAGCGAAGGAGGAGGACTCGCTGGCGTGCTACAAAGGATTGCACAACTGAGCTGGGAGCGCCGAGCGCCCAGTGGCTGGCCGGCGCGCGCGGCACGGCGGCGAGCAGGAACCAGCTCTACCACTTCATCAGCACAACTGTCTCTGGGCGGCCTCTCCGCCTGCAGGCTCCGCGCCGCCCACTTCCTGCGACCAAATAAGGCCGGGGAGGCGTCTTTAAACCTCGGGCGGCTGCCGGGCTGGGGATTTCCAGCAGACCTCACCTCCACTGGCGAGGCTGCGGCCACCCTCCACCCCAAGCCTAGACCTGAGCCCGTCCCCGGTCTCACCCCCCCCGCCCCAAACACCCGCCGTGGCACTTCTGTAACCAACAGGCCACGCGGCTTGTTCCTTGCACACACCAAGGTCAGGAGGAGACAGTGATGAAATGTTTGGAAACACATCCAGCCTGCCAGGAAAGAGAGAGAGAGAAATTGTGTGTGTGTGTGTGTGTGTGTGTGTGTGTGTGTGTGTAATGGTGGAGAGGGCACAAGTCGCTTTCCTCCACAAAGAAAACTGTGGCTTTGGAAAAGCGTGCAGGGTCCTCTCTGAGGCACTTTATCAATAGCCTTGCTGCTGGGTTTCGATTTCTAAGCCACCAGCCTACCCATAGTGTGAAGGTTACAGAGAAACTAGCCAACTGGCCCTGTCCCTGTAAAGGACTCACGTGACCACTACTTGGTGATGAAAAGCTCCTGGGTTGAATTCTCACAATTCAGGCCTAAGATGGGCAGTGGTGACTCTAGGCCCTGCCCTTCTCCCCCTTGCCATAATTTTCTAGTCCTAGCCCATGATGCCTCTTTTCCCGTTTGGTGGATGATGGGAAACTCAAGAGGTCTTCCAGACCTGAGGGAAAGTCAGGTGTGTTTTGCTGTCTGGATGTTGTTGCTTCTTAAGATGAGTCAGAAGGTTTTTCCTTTGAAGGAAAAACCACTGAGGAACACACTGTGTTCTGAGAGACACTTTCCCCTGCCACCGGTCCCAAGTGTCAGGTTCTCACCGAGACTGCAGGGCCTGGGACTTCACCTTACCTAGAGAGTGAATGACACCGACATCCAACAAGGAAGCTTCATGAAAACCTGCAAGACCTAAGAGGCATGGCTTCCCCACCACCCTCTTCCATCTCTTTGCTGGCTTCATCGTTACCTGTGTGCACCTGCACTTGGAAGGTACTCCTTCCCAGGAGGACAAGGGTCTATTTGTCCTAGGTCATGACAGACAGGGCAAAGAATTTTGGCTACAAAATACCAGTAAGCATGCCTGGGAACCAGACCAGATGACCTCTTAAAATCTCTTCCAGTTCAAGATCCACAATTCTGTGGTTGTGAAAAATTAATGAAGGAGTCTGGGAAATCCCTTTCCGCAAGGAAAAGTCCAGACTCCCCAGTGTAGACTAGACAAGTCTCCAAACCCTTCCCCACCCAGCGACTGAGCAGCTGTGAGCATATTTCAGTACTCATTCATCAGAGGGGAATACAGGATCAGAGAGCTTGCATGCCTTGCAGAAGGTCGCAGGGTAACCCAATAATCTGTCACCTCTCGTCCTCGGCTCCCAAAGAGTAAGTCACTGACCCGTTGAGGGACTGGGGTACTCAGGTACACGGTCCCCCAAGTACAGGCTAGCCTCTCAGTGCTCCTGCCAGAGGCTGGGTTTAAAAGCCATTTTGGTTTTCCCATTTGCAGGTTTCTTCCTCCCTGTGACAGTTTATCCAGGTGAGAGAAAAATAAAAGCAACCCACTTGGTCTCCAGTGTCCACTACTGCTAGGTCCTTCATTAAACCTACAGCCATCCTGAGCTTCCTGAGATGCCCCTGCAGCTAACCAGAGCCAGCCCAGAGGGAGCCCCTGAAAGAGAATACAAACCAGTCCTGGGATAGCCCCCCAAATGACCTAGCTGTGGAGCACAGTCATAGAAAAGTCTGCCACCATAGAGCCAGGTCCTGGCCTCACAGAAACCACTAGGAGCCACTGCAAAAAACATGGTTCAGCCTGGTCTCAGATGACTTCCTCTCCCCCCACACAAACTGCCGGGCCTGTCCCAGAAGTCGCATGAGAGAGAGGCAGGTGGCAAGGTGCACAAGAAAGAGAAGCCAGTGACCCTGCAGGAGCCGCTGACCTTGAACCGCACACTTCTTCACTCAGCTGAACTTCTAAATTTGGGCCAGCTCCGAAAGGGGGAGAGGGGCTGTACTGACATGGTAGAAGCCTGCCTCCCACCAAGCCAAGAGGGGAGCGGGTACAGAGGAAGCTACAGTCTTTCTGGGAAAGCCTCAGAGGTCAGTCTTCCTGCAGATATGACAAAGCAGAATCACTGACTTGTGAAGCGAAAGTTTTGGTTTTAGAAGCCCTCCAGTCCCTCCCGCAAGCATGTGGGGCAGCCAAGAAGGTCACCTTTGAGAGCGTGGGGGGGGGGGCTCCTGAGACTTTTCCCGGAGAATGCCATTCTTCTCCCGCTTCTTCACAAACACAAACACAGGGGAGAGAGAAATACAGAGCTCCAGGTCCCTGTGTATCTGCTAAGCAACACTCCAGGAAGCAAAGCATCCTGGGCTGGATTCTGAGCTCTGAGTCCCACCTGAGGTGTCCTGGGATGATGTCAACTCAGAGTAAGAGAGCATTCTCCTGAGTGGCCATCACCTATGTCCCGCCCATTAACCTCTTAGGGGTTGGTGGGGGACAGCAAGGTGAGGTCAGAGAGGCGGCTCAGCAATTAAGAACACTTGTTGCTCTTGCAGAGGACCTGGGTCCGGTTCCCAGCAACCACACGGAGGCTCACAGCCACCCATAATTCCAGTTCCAGAAGATCTGACACCACAGGCACAAGGCACTCGTCTGGTGCACACACACATATGCAGACAAAAATGTTCATACAAACAAAATGAAGAAATTATTTTTAAAAACTCCCAAGGGTGAATTCTATGGTACATAAGTTAAATCACAATAACTATTATAAAGAATGGGAAGGGCTTCCAAGAAGCCCAGGGTCTTACTACCCACCTTGCTACCTCCATTAACTTTCTGTTGGCATTGTTCACTACAGAATAATGAGGAGTTTTAGGGCTGGGGTGGAGCTCAGAGCATGAGGCCTTGCTAGGGGAGGATTTGAGTGAAAAAAGGGAGGAGTAGAAGAGGTGGCACACTCCTATAATCCCAGAACTCAGGAGGCAGAGGCAGGAAGACCAAGAGTTTGGGAGTAGCTTGAGCTATATATAAATACTGTTATAAAAAAAAAAGTTTTCTTCTCCCCAGTCCCCAAATTTGCATGCTTGTTCCTTCTCTGTTCCTGCCCTTCTCCACTGAAGTCAGTGCATGTGGAGTGTTAGTGCCCCTTCACCGGGGCACAAAGACTATTGAGGGTACCGTAAGTCCACAATGCCAGCTTCCTTATGCCCCTACTGTTATTTCCCTTTGTAAAATGAAGATACTATCTTTAGGACCTCCTCACCTAGAGTTCTAAGAAGAGAGAGAGAGAGAGTTGTGGGAAAGATAGGAAACCAGGACTGAGTCTGGATCCTGTCTAAATCTGCTGTGCAGTTTTAGGACAGTTGTCAAGAGCCTTCTCTGAATTTTTTTGTTGTTGCTGTTTTTTGTTTCGTTTTGTTTTGCCTATAACAAATCCACCATAGTCTAAGGGGTTATAACTGTTATTTATTAGTATTTATTCCTCCCCAGTACTTTCTCCCTTTCAAGAACTCAATTCCAG